TCAAAGTCATCGCCTAATGTGGGGATGTTTCAAAGTGCATGCCCCATATCCCGATACATATCTGTTCTGTTACATAAATGGGGAGGAGCTTGACAGTTGCAATCACTCTGGCAGGTCACGATGTTTCGATAAGATAGCGAAACCCTTATTTACATAGCCGCAACTTCGGCTAGCGTTTTAAAGCTGCCTGACCACGCGGCCACTGAATTTCAAGAAGTGTAATTAATTTGCAGTTAAATTCCAATTTGTTCCTTAAATCTACTACGCCAAGATAGAACGGCCGATAACTCGACTTGACGTTTTTTATTGAAAATAATAACACACGAGTTGGTATATGTAATTTGGCGGCGGTTTAACGCTCATGAGATGCAAAATTACTAAGCTACATTCTTGGTTCCGAGTTGAGTGTTTTATAGTTTAGTTTAATGCAATCAAAATTATAAAACAATATTTTGCAATTTAATTTTGAATTTGCAAAATCGAATACTTTGAAATCTTGCAGATGTTTTAAAATCATGATAAACATGATACATTTTTAATTAAAATATATTTGCTTATCCCCTCTAAAAAATTTATGACGTCACCTCAAAATTTTGCAGAATAAATCCTATCTTAAATATATAAAATATGATTAGTTTTATACTTGTGATTTATCACTGCATTAATATTTTTTAGATTTGGTTATACAGGGTGTCTCAAAAAAGTTAACGACTGATTCAATTTATTTTATTGAAGAAATCAAGAATAGCAAAACTGAATACTTTGAAATATTGTAGATGTTTTGAAGTTTTTGTAAGCAACAATATTTGATTAATCAAATATGCGCAAAATCAAAAATCGGAAAAACTGAAATTCACTAATGCAAAAAACAGAAAATCGAAAAATACAAATCGTAAAAATCGAAAATCTAAAAATGGCTAATCAAAAAATCGAAAATTCAATGAAATGAAATACCTAGGTCGATCGAAAAGTGGAAATTCACAAACCTCAAAAATCGAAAAATCGAGAATTAAAAAACGGGAAAACCAAAAAATCGAAAAGTGAAAAATTTGTAATATTGAAAATTAAAAAAATCAAAAACAAAAATAAAAAAAATCGGAAATTAAAATAATCAAAATATATAAAGTAAAAAAAAATGCAAAGCCTAAAAACTGAAACGAACAGAAAAATTGAAAAAGCAAAAAATTGGAAAAACAAAAATTCGAAAAATCTAAAATCGAAAAAGTGGAAAATCGAAAATTTGAATAAAGAAACTTGGAAATTCTGAAAATTGGAAAAAAGGAAACCAAAAAATCGGAAAGTAACAAAATTGAAGTCTAACAGTTGAGAATGGAAAAATTGTAAAACCGAAAATTCTAAAAATCGATAATGGACAAATTGAAAATCGCAAACTTTAAATTGAAAAATTGAACATAGAAAAATCGATGAATTGAAAAATCGAAAATTCGACTACTCAAATTTTCTAAAAATCGAAAAATCATAAAACTGGAAAATCCAAAATTCTAATCATCGAAAGTCTGAAAACTGAAAATCGAAAATTCTGAAAAGCGGAAAATAGAATATCGAAAAATTTAAAAGAAAGAAAATTGAAGTCTAAAAACCGAAGAATGGAAAAATTAAAAATCAAAAATTCGAAAAATCAAAACCGAAAAATTCAAAGATTTAAAAATAAAATCGAAAAATCAAAAATCTGAAAATTGAAACTCGAAAATTTGGAAAATCGAAAAGTAAAAAAATTGAAGTCTAAAAGCTGAAAAATGGAAAACTGAACAATCGAAAATCAAATATCGAAAAATCGAAAAGCCTAAAAATTGAAAATTTGATAAATCAGATATGCGAAAAACAGAAAATCTGAAAATACAAAACAGGAAATTCAAAAATCAAAAAATGGAAAAACCGAAAATCGAAAATTCAATGAATCTAATACGTAGGTCGATCGAAAAACCGGAAATTCACAAATCTGAAAAATCGAAAATTTGCAAAATTGAAAAACCGAGAATTGAAAAATCAAAAAACCGAAAAATGGAAAAATCAAAAATCGAAAAATAGGAAAACCGAAAATTCGAAAATTCATAATATTGAAAACTCTAAAAGTCGACAATTCAAAAATCAAAAAACTGGAAAAAAAATAATCGAAAAACCGAAAAGTAAACAAATTGCAAAACCTAAAAACTGACGAACAGAAAAATCGAAAAATCGTAAAATCAAAAAGTGAAAAATCGAAAACTGGAAATTGAAAAATCGAAGATTGGAAAATCGAAAAATCGAAAATCGGAATATCGAGAATCGACAAATTAAAAAACCGAAAAATCGAAAAATTAAAAAATCGGAAATCGAAAAATGAAAAAAAAGAAGAAAACTCAAAAATCGAATAATCCGAAACTAAAATAATAGAAAAGTGGAAAAGTAAAAATTGCAAAGTCTCGAAACTGATGAACAGAACAATCGAAAAATAAAAAAAAAATCGAAAAATATCTAAACATGGAAAATCGAAAAATCGAAAATCGGAAAATAGAAAAACCGAAAAATCGAAAATCGAAAATTCGATGAAACAAATACTCGAAAAAGCAAAAAGTAAAAAAATTGCAAGGCCTAAAAATTGAAAAATCAAAAAATCGAAAAAATGAAAATCGAAAAAACGACGATCGAAAAAAAATCAAAAAATCGAAAAGTGGAAAATCGGAAAGTAACAAATTGAAATCTAAAAGCTGCAAATTGCAGAACCATAAAAACTGAAACAAACAGAAAAATCGAAAAACTACAAAAGCGGAAAAACGAAAATCGAAAAATCGCAAATCGAAAAATCGTAAAATCAGAAAATGGAAAATCGAATAATCGAAAGTTGAAAAATCGAAGGTCCAAAAATTAAACAACCGAAAAATCGAAAAATTTTATGATTAATGGAAAATCGAAAAATCGAGAATAGAATAATTAAAAAACCGGAAATTTGAAAAATCGGAAATCGAAGAATTAAAAACGTAAAATCGAGAATTCAAAAATCAAAAAAATCGAAAAGTAAAATATAATCCAAAAATGCAAAAAAATTGCAAAGTCTAAAAACTGACGAACAGAAAAATCAAAAAATGTAATAATAGAAAGACGAAAAATCGAAAATTGAAAGAATGGCAAATTAAAAAATCGAAACATCGAAAAATCAAAAAAACGAAAAATTAAAAAATCGAAAAACGAAAAAACTGAAAACTCGAAAAATCAAAATACCGCAAATTTGAAAAGTCAGAAAATTAGAAAGTAATAAAATCGAAAAGTTGATAGAAAAATGGAAACTGAAAAATCTAATTCGATGAAACTGTTGGTCGAAAAAACGAAAAATTGAAAATCGAAGTGACCTTTTTTGAGACAGGCTATATAAGTAAATCTAAAAAATATTACTGCAATGATAAATCACAGCTATAGACTCATCATATCGAATTTTACGATGACGTCATGCATTTTTTGGCGAAGATAAGCAAATACATTTTGATCGTGGCTTTGAAAGTATTCTTCGACTTTCGTTCCATTTCAAAATTTACTCTTTGTATATTCCAGTGGTCACAACGAGTTCACTAACTACGCTGAAGTATGCAAAGATTAAATTTGTCACCGAAAAGATGTCGGAAGTAATAAATTATCCTATCGGTCGAAGAACGTTCGGTCCGGTGTTACACCTCGATCCAAGAGAGACCACAGTAAAGGATAACAAATGGAACGGATAAAATAAAGCGTCAAATATGATAATTGATAAACTTTAAACCACAATTAAGAAGTTTATAAACTGAACATTTTTTTTTGCTTTTTGAAATGTAGTACACTTCAAAAAATATCCGTGACTTACTTTAATGTGAATTTTATAACTATGGTCGGCACAATTACACCTAATATTTGTGTGATTTTGAGCATATTCTCGATGTTATTAGAGCAGGACAGGTTTTTTTTTTCTAACTAATTGACAAGATTTCAAAGTATTCAGTTTTGCAATTCTTGATTTCTTTAATAAAATAAATTACTCTGTATGTATAAACAAATTCAAAAAATATTAATGGAATGGTAAATCACAAGTATAGACTCATCATATTCTGAACATTTTAGATAGGCTATTTATAAAATTAAAACTAATTCAGAGTAAGTATTTATAAAATTAAAACTAATTCAGGGTAAGAATTTGGTCAACACGTAAATTTCGTTGTAGTTTGAGCCTACCTACAAATTCTGCTCTTGGACGATTTGGATCGCCTCCTTCGGTGACGACCGGCAAAAATGATCCGCCCATAGGCTCAAAACATCTGGTTAAAAACTTTAATTCATTATCAACGGAAGTAAGGATTTAAAGTCATAAAATCTATGGAGTATTTTTCTAGTCCTATAATAAAATTTTATTACCCAAACGACCGGAACCTATTCACAGACAGGGTCCTGAGTAAGTGTACTTCAATGGTCAAGTCCAGGTAAAATGCATACGATACGATACGGCTAACTAACAAGTATTTGTCATCCAGACAAGGCCGGCATTTGAACAAAATATGCATTAAAACTCATATTCGTCGAAAAAAGCATTAAATAAGCATACAAGTTTTAATATGCATAAAATTGAAAAAAAGCAAATAAGCATAAAAAAATGAGTCAAATGACTCCAAATTGTATCATAGTTACAAATATAAAAAACATTAAACCGCTCTCTAGTCATAACGTCCAATATAGACGCTGACACATTCTTTATTTAAATAGTGTGGTACAAAACCGCGATATTCTCACGTGTTACGCTTAAATTTCACTGACCTAAGACAACTGTGAATATCTGCTAATCAGTGTTTGTATCATCCAATTTTCACGCTTCTTGGGCGATTGTTCCACAACAGAGCATTTCGCCGAGTACGATAACGCTAATTAGATATAATTACATATTGTTATGCTCATTTTCATGCCTATCCCTTGTTAATTTTGATATATTTGCAGTGTTCAATAATCAGACTAGCAATAATTAAAAATAATTATATTTTTTCCAGTTGTTATGCACAAAGATAAGGATGACGGTGGCCTACATAGATCCCGGGATCTCACCGCCTTCGACCACACTCCTCTCGACGGAGAGATGTTCTTACAGGTAATAACAATAACCCTAAAAAGATCATGTCATTAATCGAATTTAAAGGCCTTAAACGGATTCCTTATGATCCTCACGTGTGAAGGAGAAGTTTTCTTCGCCACGCATAGTATAGAGGGCTATTTGGGGTTCCACCAGGTAACCGAACCCATTCATCCCCATTTCGCACCACTAACTCCTCTTATAGTCAGATATTGTCCATCAATCCGTCTACGAGCTGGTCCATTCCGAAGACCGAGAGGAGCTGCAAAGGCAGCTAATGTGGAACTCGTTTCTTCCACCAGAATCCGCAAACATGGGTCTCCAAGACGTCCTCCTCCCCGAGAATTGTCACTTGCTGGAAAGGAGTTTCACGGTGCGCTTCCGATGTCTCTTAGATAATACTTCCGGTTTTTTGGTTCGTAATTTAAAAAAACATTTGTAATACACTCAAAATCGAATTTCAGCGTTTAGATATACGAGGTCGAGTGAAGGTCCTCCATGGACAGAATCGGAAATCCGACGAGGCTCCACTAGCCCTTTTCGCGATCTGCACGCCTTTTGGTCCGCCGTCCTTGCTTGAAATACCTCAGAAAGAAGTGATGTTCAAAAGTAAACACAAACTAGATTTAGCATTAGTGTCCATGGATCAGAGAGGGAAGATGCTCTTGGGTTACTCCGACTCGGAGTTGGCTACAATGGGAGGCTACGATCTCGTGCATTACGACGACTTGGCTTACGTAGCAAGTGCCCACCAAGAATGTGAGTTCAAACAAAAATTCAAAGAAGATTCTTATTTTGTTTGTTCCAGTACTCAAAACGGGAGCGTCGGGTATGATAGCGTATAGGTTCCAAACCAAAGACGGCCAGTGGCAATGGTTGCAGACTAGTTCAAGACTAGTGTACAAGAATTCGAAGCCGGATTTTGTAATAAGCACTCATCGACCTTTGATGTTAGTATCTTGCGGCTACTGGAATTTTCACAAATTTTACTTAATTAACGAGTCGCATGTTGCTGAGTAATACTAAAGTGTTAGGTTCTTGTTATTATAAGGTACACGTTTTTATATCCTTTTATTGATCCTAGTCCTTGCACGTGTCTGCAATCCCTCAAGAAAAGCAAAAAATGGCATGAACACCTACCACGTTGTTTATATTCTCCTTTTTTTTTCTCCTCGGGTAACCGTTTGGTAGTTCCTAAAGTTTTTGCTGCTGAACGTATATCTTCTGATGCCACTTCTTCCTTTTGCCCTTCAGATGCCTGTACCCCGATGACTTGAGACGATTCATGCTAACAAGTGTCTTCTGGTTGTCCACTTCTCCCGTTTTAAATAGTACCTTTCAAGCCCTTTTGCGATGTCATCATTGTTGTCAAAATTTCTTTCACTTTGACCGTCCCTTTTTCCAGGGAGGAAGAAGGTCGCGACCTCCTCGGCAAGCGCACCATGGACTTCAAAGTCAGCTACTTGGACGCGGGTCTTCCAAACAGCTACTTCTCCGAGACAGATCAAATCTTAAGCAGCACATCGAACGTCGTTCAACACAACATTCCCGTGACGCCGTCTCGCGTCAACCGAAGATACAAAACCCAGCTTCGGGACTTCTTGTCCACTTGTCGTACCAAACGCAAACTCTCGCACAGTTCCTCCAGTGGACAAGTGACCCCTCCCGCTAACACGACGGTCACGGCGGCCGTCGTCAGCCCCATGCCGGCCGTGGACTACATCACTCCCGACGGATGCGCCGCCTACAACATGTACAGTACGACGTACCCCACGGCCACCCCCGACCACAGCCTCTCGTACATGAGCCACTCCAATTTCCAGCACGGGCTGTACCCGACTCCCACCGCTCTGGACAACCGGTACTTGACGACGACGGAGAATCTGTTCCACCAGTACAGGCCGCTGAGCACTTACTACCCCGAGTACCACCACGGCACCGCCGCCAGTCCGTACGTGGGCAACGGCTTCCCCACCTACGATCCCACCCCCACTTCCGCTAGTCACCATGCCTCCTATCGCACGACCGTCATGCCCGTGGACGAGAAGCTCTACCCCTGCCAGCAGGTCGTGGACGCGCCCGCGAAGTACCCGGCGTACGTGGACTCCTCCAGAGGGTACGTCGTGGCCAACAACAAGTGTCTGGACGTGGGCTGGCCCTATTCGGTCAGCCCGTCGTCGGGGATCATCCAGCCGGTGCAGGTTATGGAGCTCAGCAAGCCGTGCAAGATCTCCAAGCACCCCGCACTCGACGGGATCGCCTCCAACCACGCCGCCTCCCCCGTCAACGCGGGCCTGTTGACCCCCAAGATGGAGGAGATCAAGTCGGACGGGTTGAACGACGCGCAACCGCAGCACTTTTCGCCGGTGCAGGAGAGGCAGACGGTGCTGATGTGGGGCTCGAACCACGTCAACCCCTCGCCCAACTCGACCACGAGGTCCCCCAGCCAGGAGTACAACGCGCCTACGTCGGAGGGCTGCGAGGCTCTGAAGAGTCTGGCGGAAATTAGCAACCCGGAGATGTGCAAATGGAACGGTGAGGAAAACAAGACTGAACCGGTTCAGACCAGCGATTCGGACAGTCCGCACCATCACGCCGCCCATCACAACCACCACAATTCCAGAGTGGTCATGGTTCTATGATGAACGTGGTGTTGCTGGTCCGCAGCAATTGTACATACAGATATACATACTTTTAATAAATCGCACATACATTCAATATTCCACAATGATATATACAAAAAACATATCTTCCTGCATTGTGTTTCGTTGTCAATGTCTTCGATTTAGAACTTAATACTCTTAGTACGTGAAGTGTTTTTGTTTGGAGCAGCTGAGATGGTTCTTAGTACCTATACATAATTTGTTATTTATTTTTATATTTTTACGCAGTGAAAACATGCTAGTCATTCAACTGGTTATTTGTATATGTTGTATATTATTATTTATGAATGTAGTAATATAATTCGTAGACGATAGTTTATTGTTCAGCAAATTATTGTTTTCTATGACTATTTACAAAACGACATTATTTAAAAAAATATGAGCAACGTTATCCGAGAATATACATATACTTAAATGATAAATATTTAGGAACGAAGTTCCCCTGCGCCTACATTCCATCAAACTGTCAAATTTTTGAATTGTACATTAAAGTTTAAGAATCATGTATTACCTACCTGTAACGTGTATGAAAATTATATAATGATAAAAATAAAATACATTATATTACAATAGAAACAACACGGGTCCTCTTTCTGATACCCCCTTCAATGATACTTAACGCTAGACGAGAGACAAGTTTGAATTGGGCGCCATTTGTTGCCTTAAACGCAACCAGCAATTCTTCTTTAAATCTACCTAAAAAAAAAACGCTCTGTATTTTTGCTCGGTAAAAATGATAAATGCTAAGTTATATAATAAATGCTCAGTTAAAAAATAAATATCTGAAAATTTAAAATCCAGAAATTGAAAAGTTCTCAATATTCAAATCCTGAAAAATTGAGTATTGAAAACTTGAAAAATTGAGAAATCGAAGCATCAAAAAATAGTAAAATTGAAAAACGTAAAATTTTAAAAATCCAAAAATTGAGAAATAAAAGAAAAGAAAAATCAAAAATTTAAAAATTCGAAAAATTGAAAAATTAAAATATCGAAAAATTGAAGAATTGGGAAATCGAAACACCAAAAAAATCAAAAAAACAAAAATCTAAAATTCAAAAGTCAAAAAATTGAACACTCGAAAAGCCAAAAAGTCGAAAAATCGAAACATCGGAATGTTCAAAATCTGAAACATCGAGAAATCAAAAAACATCAACAGTAGAGGAGTCAAAAAATCAAAAAATTAAGAAATCAAATTAGACCAAAATTGAAAAATCGAAAAGTTAATAATTGAAAAATTGAAACATTTTAAATGAAAAAAAAATCGGTAAACCGAAAAATTGAAAAATCTAAAAATCGAGAAATTGAACAATCTAAAAATTAAACAATTTAAAAATCGAAGAATTGGAAAACCAAAAAATCTAAACCGACAACTTGAAAAATTGAATAATCGACAAATCAAAACATCAAGGAAAACAAAAAAATTAACGGAAAATCTAGAACTTAAAAATTGAAAAATTAAAATACCTATCGAAAAATTGAAAAACCGAGAAATCGAAACATCAAAAAATGGAAAAACTGAAGAACCGAAACATTGCAAAATCCCAGAACTGAAATACTGAAAAACTGAAAAATGGAAGGAAAACTTAAAAATCGAAAAAGTGAAAAAATTAAAAACTGAAACATTGAAAAATTCAGAAATCGGAAAATTGAAAAAATCACAATTGAAGAAAGAATTGAAAAATCGAGAAATAGAGAAATGGGAAAATAAAAAAATCAGTTAATCGAAAAATTGAGAAATCGAAAAATTTAGAAACGTCAAAAATTGACGGAAAATTGAGAAATCGAAAAATTAAGAAATTCGAGAAAGCGAAAATATGAAGAATCGAGAAATCGAAGAATCGATAAATTGAAAAATCCCAACAGTAATATATCGAAAAATCGAGAAATCGAAATCGAGCAAAACTGAAGTATCGTAAAGTTAATAAATTGAAAAACTGAAAATTTTTGAAAAAAAAATCGTATCAAAACTAAAAATTCAAAAAATCGAGAAATTGAACAATAAAAAAGTCAAAACATTGAAATCAAAAACTTTAAAAATCGAAAAATCAAAACACCCAAAAATCGATAGATTAAAAAATCAAAAAATTAAAATATCTGAAAATCGAAAATCCAGAAATAGAAAAGTTCTCAATATTCAAATCCTGAAAAATTGAGTATTGCAAACTTCAAAAATTGAGAAAAATTGAAAAATTAAAGTATCGACAAATTGAAGAATTGGGAAATCGAAACACTAAAAAAATCAAAAAAACAAAAATCTAAAATTCAAAAGTCAAAAAATTGAACACTCGAAAAGCCAAAAAATCGAAAAATCGAAACATCGGAATGTTCAAAATCTGAAACATCGAGAAATCCAAACATTAACAGCAGGGGAGTCAAAAAATTAAAAAATTAAGAAATCAAATTAGACCAAAATTGAAAAATCGAAAAGTTAATTGAAAAATTGAAACATTTTAAATGAACAAAAAAAAACGGTAAACCGAAAAATTGAAAAATCTAAAAATCGAGAAATTGAACAATCTAAAATTAAACAATTTAAAAATCGAAGAATTGGAAAACCAAAAAATCTAAACCGAGAACTTGAAAAATTGAATAATCGACAAATCAAAACATCAAGGAAAACAAAAAAATTAACGGAAAATCTAGAACTTAAAAATTGAAAAATTAAAATACCTATCGAAAAATTGAAAAACTGAGAAATCGAAACATCAAAAAATGGAAAAATTGAAGAACCGAAACATTGCAAAATCCCAGAACCGAAATACTGAAAAACTGAAAAATGGAAGGAAAATTGAAAAATCGAAAAAGTAAAAAAATTCAAAACTGAAATCTTGAAAAACTGAAAAATGGAAAGAAAATTGAAGAATCGGAAAGCGAAAAAATCCAAAACTGAACATTGAAAAATTCAGAAATCGAAAAATTGAAAAATCACAATTGAAGAAAGAATCGAAAAATCGAGAAATAGAGAAATGGGAAAATCAAAAAATCAGTTAATCGAAAAATTGAGAAATCGAAAAATTTAGAAACGTCAAAAATTGAAAACTGAAAAATAAAAAAATTTAAAAATCGTAAAACTGAAACATCGGAAAATTGAGAAATCGAAAAATGAAGAAATTCGAGAAACCGAAAATATGAAGAATCGAGAAATCGAAGAATCGATGAATTGAAAAATCCCAACAGTAGTATATCGAAAAATTGAGGAATCGAAATCGAGCAAAACTGAAGTATCGTAAAGTTAATAAATTGAAAAACTGAAAATTTTTGAAAAAAAAATTGTATCAAAACTAAAAATTCAAAAAATCGAGAAATTGAACAATAAAAAATCAAAACATTGAAATTAAAAACTTTAAAAATCGAAAAATCAAAACACCCAAAAATCGAGACATTAAAAAATCAAAAAATTAAAATATCTGAAAATTGAAAATCCAGAAATTGAAAAGTTCTCAATATTCAAATCCTGAAAAATTGAGTATTGAAAACTTGAAAAATTGAGAAATCCAAGCATCAAAAAAATAGTAAAATTGAATTCGAAAAATTGAAAAATTAAAGTATCGAAAAATTGAAGAATTGGGAAATCGAAACACCAAAAAAATCAAAAAAACAGAAATCTAAAATTCAAAAATCAAAAAATTGAACACTCGAAAAGCCAAAAAGTCGAAAAATCGTAACATCGGAATGTTCAAAAACTGAAACATCGAGAAATCCAAACATCAACAGAAGAGGAGTCAAAAAATCAAAAAATTAAGAAATCAAATTAGACTAAAATTGAAAAATCGAAAAGTTAATAATTGAAAAATTGAAACACTTTAAATGAAAAAAAAATCGGTAAACCCAAAATTGAAAAATCTAAAAATCGAGAAATTGAACAATCTAAAAATTAAACAATTTAAAAATCGAAGAATTGGAAAACCAAAAAATCTGAACCGAGAACTTGAAAAATTGAATAATCAACAAATCAAAACATGAAGGAAAACGAAAAAATTAACGGAAAATCTAGAACTTAAAAATTGAAAAACCGAAACATTACAAAATCTCACAACTGAAATACTGAAAAACTGAAAAATGGAAGGAAAATTGAAAAATCGAAAAATTTAGAAACGTCAAAAATTGAAAACTGAAAAATAAAAAAAATTAAAAATCGTAAAACTGAAACATCGGAAAATTGAGAAATCGAAAAATGAAGAAATTCGAGAAACCGAAAATATGAAGAATCGAGAAATCGAAGAATCGATAAATTGAAAAATCCCAACAGTAATATATCGAAAAATTGAGAAATCGAAATCGAGCAAAAAACTGAAGTATCGTGAAGTTAATAAATTGAAAAACTGAAAATTTTTCAAAAAAAAATTCGTATCAAAAACTAAAAATTCAAAAAATCGAGAAATTGAACAATAAAAAAATCAAAACATTGAAATTCCAGTAAGTTGATAAATAGGAAAATTTAAAAAACAAAAATTTTAAAAATCCAAGAATTGAACAACAAAAAAAATCCAAGCCTGAAAACTCAGAAAATCGAATGATCGAGAACTCAAAACATCAAAGAAAACAAAAAATCTAAAATTTAAAAATTCGACAAACTGAAAAATCATGGAACTGAAAAATCGAAAAGTCGAGATAGTGAGAAATCTAAAAACCTAAAACTCTAAAAACTGAAAAATTAAAATATCGAAAAATTTAAAAACCGAGAACACACAATATCAAAAATTTGAAAAATTGAAGGAACGAAATATTGCAAAATTCCAAAGCTGAAATATAGGAAACCCTAAAATTGGAAGGAAAATTAAAGAATCGAAACAGTGAAAAAATCCCAAACTGAAACATTGAAAAATTGAGAAATGGAGAAATGGGAAAATCAAAAAAATCGGTCTAAAGAGTTTAGACAGTACTTCCCTCGATATCGGAAACGTGACGACTGCATGTCTATTATGTTTTTTTTTTCACATTAAAATAAATTTGCGCATTCATTAAATTTTTTGAGTCACCCTGTATATCCGAATCCAAAAAATATGACTGGAATGATAAATTACAAGAGGAGACTCATCATATTTTGTACATTTTAAATAGGATTATTCGGCAAAATTTTGAGGTGACGTCATGAATTTTTTGGAGGGGATAAGCAAATATATTTTGACTAAAAATTTATTATGCTCTTTATAACCTTAAAACATCTGCAAGATTTCAAAGCATTCGGTTTTGTAGTTCCTGATTAAATCAATAAAATAAATTTACGCATTCATTAATTTTTGGGGTCATCCTGTATATGCAAATCCAAAAAACATGAATGGAATGATAAATCATAAGAAGAGACTCATCATATTTTATACATTTTAGATAGGATTTATTCAGCAAAATTTTGGGATGGCGTCATCCATTTTTTAGGAGGGATGAGCAAATGTACTTTGATCAAAAATTGATCAAAAAATAAAAAAACTAAAAAATAAAAAAAATACAGATTGAAAAATTGGATAAATCAGAAATCGGAAAATTGTACAACTGTTTAATCGGAAAATCAAAAACTGAAATATCCAAGAACTGAAAAAAAAACAAATCATACAAAATCGAATTCAAAATTCCAGTTTTTTTTTTTAGTTTTTAGATTTTTCAAGTTTTGAATGTTTCATTTGATAATTTGTTCGACAATTTTGGAATTTTTTGATTTTTAATTTTTCAAGTTCTCAAGTTAAAATTTTTCATTTTCACGATTTGTCATTTTTCGATTTTTTAACTAAGATTCATTTTGGCCAATAATCTACTCTTCTAAGAAAAGATACTAGCCGCGCCCACCCACCCCTTATTGTCTTAGAAGAGTAGGTCATCTGCCAAAATCAATCTTATCTTGGCAAGTATGAAACTGATTTTTGCAGATGACATATTCTCTAAGAAAATAAGGGTGGGTGGGCGGGGCTAGTACTTGTCAAGATGAGACTGATTTTGGCAAATCACATATCCTCTAAGAAAATAAGGGTGGGTGGGCGGGGCTAGTACTTGTCAAGATAAGACTGATTTTGGCAGATAACTTATTCTTCTAAGAAAATAAAGGCTGGGTGGGTGGGGCTAGTACTTGTCAAGATGAGACTGATTTTGGCAAATGACATAGCCAAATGACAAAATAAGGGTGGGTGGACGGGGCTAGTACTTGCTAAAAATAAAATAACTAAAAAATCAAAAAATGACAAATTGAAAAATTGGATAAACGAGACATCGGAAAATTGTACAACTGTTTAATCGGAAAATCAAAAACTGAAATATCCAAGAACTGAAAAAAAAACAAATCATACAAAATCGAATTCAAAATTCCAGTTTTTTTTTTTAGTTTTTAGATTTTTCAAGTTTTGAATGTTTCATTTGATAATTTGTTCGACAATTTTGGAATTTTTTGATTTTTAATTTTTCAAGTTCTCAAGTTAAAATTTTTCATTTTCACGATTTGTCATTTTTCGATTTTTTAACTAAGATTCATTTTGGCCAATAATCTACTCTTCTAAGAAAAGATACTAGCCCCGCCCACTACAATATTACAATGAATTTTTAGTAATCACGTGTATTGCATTTAGAATCCTGAGTGGAGTAAAAATATTATAGTTCCCCAGTTTTAATTCGGTTTTATGATAGTACCTCATTGCGTAAAAGTTAATTTCCTTAACAATAAATTACTACATAAATTAGAAAAATCAGCCGAGAACGCTAACAATCAGCTTATGGTAGAGCAGGCGATGAGAGTTTTAGCTGGAAAGTCGCTTCCGTAAATTTTAGTGGCGCTCCTATCGGCAAAGTACTGAACTAACGGCTCAAAATCTGTCGAATTGATACCCATTTTTTTCAATAATTGTTAGTTTTTGTTAAAAACTCTGCTAACCAATAGATCATTAATTTTCCTCTGATATTCCTGTTAAAATTATTCGACGTATTTTGCATTAATTTGTGGTATATTTTGATTTTAATAAACACATTATTATTTAAACAAATTGTACCACTAACACACATTTAATGACTCTGCGCCCTGTAAAAAGTGATGTTTTATTCATGTGCGAATTTTCAAGCGATTCTATGATGGTTATGACTCAAAAAAATTGAAAACAAAACATACAATGGTGCTTTTTTTACGATATTTCTCAGCCATATTTTTTTAATTGATTGAACTGGTTTCTGTGCTCTAGAATATGAAAAAAGCTGCAGTTTGATGTATGATACATCTATATTAATATCATTTTTTCATAAAAAAAAACACGTAGAAAAGCTTCTTTATAACATTTATTTTTTACGAATTTATTAAGTTATTTACAACGCTACGCGCTCTCCTTCTCCATCATCCTCGACGTCTTTTTGCGTGTTATCGTCTTTCACTTCTATGTACAACTCATGATCAACTTTAAATTTTTCTGAAGACGGCGGACTCACCAATAAACACCTGCAAAATACAGAAATTTCTACTACAGAATTTTTTCTACGACTCACGCACCTCGAAATAAAAGTTCCCTCTCGTTTCGGCTTCATCCTATACACATCCTGAACCAACGCGGCAAAATTCTCCTCCAAACAGCGACTATCCATATCCAGCGTCCCCACAACTGCCTCCACCAGCCCGAAATCCTTCTCATGCTCGTCCTTCTTCGCGCTATACGAGATCCCATGCAACAACCTCTCCGTCACCCCAGTCAAATCGACCGCCAGCGTCCCCATTTTCGGGTTAGGAAACCGCCTCTTCATCACCCCTCTTAACGGTACCAACTCGGGCAAAATATCCGGATGCGCGATAATGTACTGAAAATTCTGCAAAGAAACGCCACCGTTTTGGATCTGCTTGATCAGATCCACACCACCGGCGAGCTGCGCCCCCGCATCCAGCGCCTCCTGTCGCACAGAAGCCGTTTTACTGAACGCGATAATCGCCCGCTCGTCGCCGTGCTCAAACTTGTGTGGAATTGCGGCAATTCGAGAGAAGTCTTCCACGAACCGCGTGACTTTCTCGCCTTGCATGTTTAACTCGATTCGGGCGAGGAGATTGGAGTTGGGTTCGTTGTACATGTCTGGGTGGTGGGTTTGTCGGTGCGATTCCACAGCTTCATGGAAAGGGTAGACTTTCCAGCGGTAGTATTTCATGATGTAGACGTCGTCGAAGGGGAGAGGTCGGGCGGAATCGTCGACTTTGAGAATGGGGCGAGCCGCTAGTAAACTAAATTGATTGAATTATTTGAAAGTTGGAAATGGGGGATACTAACGCATCTTTGTTCCGTTGGTTGTGGGGGATAAATTTGGCCTTCACTTCTACTTCCTTTTTGGTTTTTTTCTTCTGCTTTCGTTCGCGGGTGCCTTTCCTGGCGGCATAATTACGTTCAGATATGAATGTTTTGGTTAAGGAAAAAAAACTACTATTTGGGCGTAATTCTGAAATATAAGTGGGGTGGCTTTAGGGGTAAGTTTTAACCATTGTTACTACTTACTTGAAACAATAGAGAACATTTCTATGTTTATAAAATTTGACCAAGCATTTATAAAATTAGTACATAACCTTAAACTTCAATCGACACTGGCGTCACCTATTGTTGCCAACGTACAACTACGTGTTTGATTGGTTGCATAACCAAATTCAAAAATACCCATTATTTTTTTTTTAAAGACTGCGATAATTATAAACTTTGTTCCGAAGAGTCAACTTATATTTCAGCTTTGTCAATTTATCAAAAATCTGATAAAATACGCCACTTCTGGTAAAAAAAATTACCAATCATATTTATCATCAGAACTTGATTATAATCTAAAAACATACTCCGTGATTGAGTAAATAATCCCGAGGACTCGAGTCCCACATTCTCATAAGGTAAATCATCGTTTTGTCCCGTTTTGACTTTGGCAGTTTCCTTGACAATTCAAACAATTTCTGTCACAAGTAGAAATTTTAATAAAACCGGGAGAACAAAACCAAATTTTCCGTAATCACAAAATTTGATTAAATCTGATTCTGGAATACACTGGTTTTTGGATTTCTCAATACATATTTCGATTTTTGGTTTTTACGATTTTTCGGTTTTTCGACTTCGAATTGTCGATTTCTAGATTCTTCAATTTTTTGATCGATTCTCCAAATTTTCGATTTTTCGACTTTTCATTTTCTTGATTTTTGTTTTTTTTTTTTTAATTTTTTCGACCTTTGGACTTTTCGATCGATTCTTCATGTTTACAATGTTGCTGCTTTTCGATTTTTGGACATTCCGATTTTTCCATATCTTAATTTTTGGATTTTCCGACTTTTCAACTTCCATTTGTTGATCGATTCTTCAAATTTTCGATATTTTGACTTTTCGATTTTTGGATTTTCGGACTTTTCCATTACTCGATTTTTGGATTTTCCGACTTTTCGAGTTTTAGATTTTTCAATTTTCTAACCTTTCAATTTTTGGATTTTCCGATTTTTTGGTTTTTCAATTTTCCGATTTTTTGACTTCTGGATTTTTCGAATGTTCGATTTTTCGCCTCGGATATGTATTTCGATTTTTCAAATCTTCGATTTTAGAATTTTCGTATGTTTGATTTCTGGATTTTCCGACTTCGTTTATCGATTTCTTCATTTTTCGATTTTTCGATTTTTGAAATTTTTGATCGATTTTATTAAATTTTCGATTTTTCAATTTTTAACTTTTTCCATTTTTCTACTTACTTATTTTTCGAATGTTTGCTTTCTCGATTTTTCAATTTTGGATTATCCGCCTTTTCGAGTTCTTAATTTTTGAATTTGTCAATTTCTCGAAATTTCGATTTTTGAATTTTTGATTCTTCTACTTCGATTTCTGGATTTTTGAATTCGTTTTTTCGATCGATTCTTCAAATTTTCGATATTTTAACTTTTCGATTTTTGGATTTTCGGACTTTTCTATTGCTCGATTTTTGGATTTTCCGACTTTTCGAGTTTTAGATTTTTTTAATTTTCTATTTCTACAAATTTCGAGTTTTGAATTTTCCATTTTTCGACTTTTCGACTATTGGTTTTTGGATTTCTCGATTTAGATTTTCTCAATACATATTTCAATTTTTGGTTTTTACGATTTTTCGGTTTTTCGACTTCGATTTGTCGATTTTTGGATTCTTCAATTTTTTTATCGATTCTCCGAATGTTCGATTTTTCGCCTTGGACTTTTTCATTTTTTTCGACCTTCGGACTTTTCGGTCGATTCTTCATGTTTACAATGTTGCTACTTTTCGATTTTTGGACATTCCGATTTTTATATATCTTGATTTTCGGGTTTTCCCACTTTTCAACTTCGATTTGTTGATCGATTCTTCAAATTTTCGATATTTTGACTGTTGATTTTTGGATTTTCGGACTTTTCGGAATTTTCCTACATTTCAATTTTTGGATTTTCTGTTTTTTTGGCTTTTCAATTTTCCGATTTTTTGACTTCTGGATTTTTCGAATGTTCGATTTTTCGCCTCGGATATGTATTTCGATTTTTTCGATCTTTCGATTTTTCGAATATTCGATTTTAGAATTTTCGTATGTTTGATTTCTGGATTTTCCGACTTCGTTTATCGATTTCTTGATTTTTCGATTTTTGAAATTTTTGATCGATTTTATTAAATTTTCGATTTTTCTACTTACTTATTTTTCGAATGTTCGCTTTCTCGATTTTTCAATTTTTGCATTATCCGCCTCTTCGAGTTCTCAATTTCTGAATTTTTCAATTTCTCGAAATTTCGATTTTTGAATTTTTGATTCTTCTACTTCGATTTCTGGATTTTTGAATTCGTTTTTTCGATCGATTTTTCAAATTTTCGATATTTTGACTTTTCGATTTTTGGATTTTCGGACTTTTCCGTTACTCGATTTTTGGATTTTCCAACTTTTCGAGTTTTAGATTTTGGATTTTTCAGTTTCCTGATAATGTCAATTTTCGGATTTTACGATTTTTTGGCTTTTTTTAAAATATAAGGTTTTGGTTAAGGAAAAAAAACTCTTATTTGGACGTAATTCTGAAACATAAGTGGGTGGCTTTAGGGGTAAGTTTTGACCATTGTTACTACTTACTTGAAACAATAGAGAACATTTCTATGTTTATAAAATTTGACCAAGCATTTATAAATTTAGTACATAACCTTAAACTTCAATCGACACTGGCGTCACCTATTGTTGCCAACGTACAACTACGTGTTTGATTGGTTGCATAACCAAATTCAAAAATACCCATTATTTTTTTTTTAAAGACTGCGATAATTATAAACTTTGTTCCGAAGAGTCAACTTATCTTTCAGCTTTGTCAATTTATCAAAAATCTGATAAAATACGCCACTTCTGGTTAAAAAATTTACCAATCATATTTATCATCAGAGCCTGATTATAATCTAAAAACATACACTGTGATTGAGTAAATAATCCCGAGGACTCGAGTCCCACATTCTAATAAGGTAAATCATCGTTTTGTCCCGTTTTGGCTTTGGCAGTTTCCTTGACAATTCAAACAGAATTTCTGTCACAAGTAGAAATTTTAATAAAACCGGGAGAACAAAACCAAATTTTCCGTAATCACAAAATTTGGTTAAATCTGATTCTGGAATACACTGGTTTTTGGATTTCTCAATACATATTTCGATTTTTGGTTTTTACGATTTTTCGGTTTTTCGACTTCGATTTGTCGATTTCTAGATTCTTCAATTTTTTGATCGATTCTCCAAATTTTCGATTTTTCGACTTTTCACTTTCTTGATTTTTGTTTTTTTTTTAATTTTTTGACCTTTGGACTTTTCGATCGATTCTTCATGTTTACAATGTTGCTGCTTTTCGATTTTTGGACATTCCGATTTTTCCATATCTTGATTTTTGGATTTTCCGACTTTTCAACTTCCATTTGTTGATCGATTCTTCAAATTTTCGATATTTGGATTTTCGGACTTTTCCATTACTCGATTTATGGATTTTCCGACTTTTCGAGTTTTAGATTTTTCATTTTTCTAACCTTTCAATTTTTGGATTTTCCGATTTTTTGGCTTTTCAATTTTCCGATTTTTTGACTTCTGGATTTTTCGAATGTTCGATTTTTCGCCTCGGATATGTATTTCGATTTTTCAAATCTTCGATTTTAGAATTTTCGTATGTTTGATTTCTGGATTTTCCGACTTCGTTTATCGATTTCTTCATTTTTCGATTTTTCGATTTTTGAAATTTTTGATCGATTTTATTAAATTTTCGATTTTTCAATTTTTAACTTTTTCCATTTTTTACTTACTTATTTTTCGAATGTTTGCTTTCTCGATTTTTCAATTTTGGATTATCCGCCTTTTCGAGTTCTTAATTTTTGAATTTGTCAATTTCTCGAAATTTCGATTTTTGAATTTTTGATTCTTCTACTTCGATTTCTGGATTTTTGAATTCGTTTTTTCGATCGATTCTTCAAATTTTCGATATTTTGACTTTTCGATTTTTGGATTTTCGGACTTTTCTATTGCTCGATTTTTGGATTTTCCGACTTTTCGAGTTTTAGATTTTTTTATTTTTCTATTTCTACAAATTTCGAGTTTTGAATTTTCCATTTTTCGACTTTTCGACTATTGGTTTTTGGATTTCTCGATTTAGATTTTCTCAATACATATTTCGATTTTTGGTGTTTACGATTTTTCGGTTTTTCGACTTCGATTTGTCGATTTTTGGATTCTTCAATTTTTTTATCGATTCTCCGAATGTTCGATTTTTCGCCTTGGACTTTTTCATTTTTTTCGACCTTCGGACTTTTCGGTCGATTCTTCATGTTTACAATGTTGCTACTTTTCGATTTTTGGACATTCCGATTTTTCGATATCTTGATTTTCGGGTTTTCCCACTTTTCAACTTCGATTTGTTGATCGATTCTTCAAATTTTCGATATTTTGACTGTTCGATTTTTGGATTTTCGGACTTTTCGGAATTTTCCTACAATTCAATTTTTGGATTTTCTGTTTTTTTGGCTTTTCAATTTTCCGATTTTTTGACTTCTGGATTTTTCGAATGTTCGATTTTTCGCCTCGGATATGTATTTCGATTTTTTCGATCTTTCGATTTTTCGAATATTCGATTTTAGAATTTTCGTATGTTTGATTTCTGGATTTTCCGACTTCGTTTGTCGATTTCTTGATTTTTCCATTTTTGAAATTTTTGATCGATTTTATTAAATTTTCGATTTTTCTACTTACTTATTTTTCGAATGTTCACTTTCTCGATTTTTCAATTTTTGCATTATCCGCCTCTTCGAGTTCTCAATTTCTGAATTTTTCAATTTCTCGAAATTTCGATTTTTGAATTTTTGATTCTTCTACTTCGATTTCTGGATTTTTGAATTCGTTTTTTCGATCGATTTTTCAAATTTTCGATATTTTGACTTTTCGATTTTTGGATTTTCGGACTTTTCCGTTACTCGATTTTTGGATTTTCCAACTTTTCGAGTTTTAGATTTTGGATTTTTCAGTTTCCTGATAATGTCAATTTTCGAATTTTACGATTTTTTTAAAATATAAGGTTTTGGTTAAGGAAAAAAAACTCTTATTTGGACGTAATTCTGGAATATAAGTGGGGTGGCTTTAGGGGTAAGTTTGACCATTGTTACTACTTACTTGAAACAATAGAAAACATTTCTATGTTTATAAAATTTGACCAGGCATTTATAAATTTAGTACATAACCTTAAACTTCAATCGACACTGGCGTCACCTATTGTTGCCAACGTATAACTACGTGTTTGATTGGTTGCATAACCAAATTCAAAAATACCCATTATTTTTTTTAAAGACTGCGATAATTATAAACTTTGTTCCGAAGAGTCAACTTATCTTTCAGCTTTGTCAATTTATCAAAAATCTGATAAAATACGCCACTTCTGGTTAAAAAATTTACCAATCATATTTATCATCAGAGCCTGATTATAATCTAAAAACATACACTGTGATTGAGTAAATAATCCCGAGGACTCGAGTCCCACATTCTAATAAGGTAAATCATCGTTTTGTCCCGTTTTGACTTTGGCAGTTTCCTTGACAATTCAAACAGAATTTCAAGTAGAAATTTTAATTTAATAAAACCGAGAGAACAAAACCAAATTTCCCGTAATCACAAAATTTGGTTAAATCTGATTCTGGAATACACAGTCTCCACAGTGTGATGTAATCCCGCTAACCTAGTTCAAAACCAACTGTTCTTTGACATTGAACTTTGACCTCCGTGTTTTAACAAAAATTACGCACAATGGTAATTAAAATCTGATACATAATCAATTAAAATGACTCTTCGTTTCCAGCTCGTTCGAAAACTGTTCCTAACCTCAAATTTGCGCCAATTCGTGGCCCCCATTCTCGCCCGCAAAATGTCAACATCCACCGATGACGTCATCTTCCAGGACGTAGGAGACAAGGGTGTCATCACCTTGAACCGCCCCAAAGCCCTAAACGCCCTTAATCTTTCCATGGTGAATAAACTCCACTCCAAATTGACAGAATGGGAGTGTGAAAAAAGCCTGGTTATAATCAAGGGGGCCGGCGGCAAGGCTTTTTGCGCCGGCGGCGACGTCAAATCCGTCGCCTTGGCTGGAATGAAAGGGGAAAAATTAGGCCACAGTTTCTTCAAACAGGAGTACAAAACAGATGGGTTAATTGGAACCTACAAAGTCCCGTATGTCGCTCTAATCGACGGGATAGTGATGGGCGGAGGCGTGGGGTTGTCCGTGCACGGGCCGTACCGCGTAGCCACCGAACGCTCGGTTTTCGCAATGCCGGAGACCCAAATCGGGCTATTCCCAGACGTCGGGGGCTCCTACTTTCTCCCGCGATTGAGGGGCAAGTTGGGCTTGTTTTTGGCCTTGACGGGGTACAGGTTGAAAGGTGCCGATATTTACAAAGCCGGGATTGCCACACATTATGTGGATAGTAAGGATTTGGAGGCGTTGGAGTGTGATTTGTTGAAGTGCCAGAATGTGAATGGGATTGACACTACGTTGAAGAGGTACAGTGTGAAAGATACCGGGGAGTTTTGTTTGGAGCCTATGATGAAGGATATCAATCAGTGGTTTTCGGGGGGTTCTGTTGAAGACATTGTTACGAATTTGAAGAAAAATGGGTGTACGTTTGCACAAGAAATAGTTCATTTGTTGGGGAAGATGTCTCCGACGAGCATGAAGGTTACGATGAAGCAGCTGGAGTGTGGGAGTAAGATGACGCTGGAGGAGTGCTTGCAGATGGAGTATAGGATTGCTGTTAATTGCTTGGCGAACAAAGATTTTTATGAAGGTAGAAATTCATGTTTTTGTGTTGCGACATAACCTCAATTTGTGTGGGAGATTTTGACGTTTGTTCCATTGGCGTAACGCTAAGTGGGGTCTGGAAATATGACGTTTACTTAAATGACATTAATGACATTAATTCCATAGGCGCACCTACTCGAATTTAAAATATTTTTTTTCTAGGTGTTAGGGCCCTTCTCATCGATAAGGACCAAAATCCGAAATGGAATCCTGCGACCCTCCCAGAAGTATCATCTGATTTAGTGGAAAGCCATTTTGCGAAGCTTCCTGAGGACCAGGAGTTGAGGCACAAGCTGTGATGTTTTGTATATTAATAAACCATAGTTTATATTATATTGTATTTTTTAGTTGATTTAAATAATTTACACCAAACCATCAATGTAATTGACCATTGACAATGACAATAAGGTTAGAATCGACTACTGAGCGCCAGTTCATAATTCAAAAATTCTACTATTGGTTTCTTATGGAAGCTTGATTTTACAGACAAAATACGTCGCATAGCTAGAACGAGACACAAAGTCCGTTCAAGAGGTCAAAATCTATAAGAAAATATGTTTGGTTAAGTTTACAAAATGTCAAAAATTGGCCGAAATTTGAATGAGGGAGGACCATTAAAAAAATTTCGTTTTCGAAAAAGTTGTCTAAGAATTGTGAAAAAATTCAGGGATGTTGAGATGTTGATTGCAAAAATACTTTTTTTTATTTTATTTCTCGACCGATTCTTCAAATTTTCAATTTTTAGACTTTTGATTTTTCGGATTTTTGGATTTTTCGATTGATTCTTCAAATGTTTCATTTTTCGACTTTTCCAACTAACGTGATAGGGAGTTCACTTTTTTGATAACTTTACCGAAAAACATGGTTAAAATGGATTCAATCGACTGAAAGTTGGTATGAAATTGTAGATAATATAATCTTAGCCTAATGGCGAATCCGCCGAGAAATCGAAAAATTAAAATATTTTATTTTAAAATTTTTTAATTCCTTCATTTTTCCCCTTTTTGATTTTTCGATTTCCCGAATTTTCTTTCCACTTTTCGATTTTTTTATTTAAATTTTTGGATTTTTTGACTCGTGGAGTTTTCAATTTTTCAATTTCTCGATCGATTCTCCAAATTTTCCATTTTTCGACTTTTCGATTGATTTTTCAAATATTCGATTTTGGTACTTTCCGACTTTTCCATGTCTCAGTTTTTGGATTTTCCGACTTTTGGGTTCTCAATTTTTTTATTTTTCAATTTCTCGAAATTTCGAGTTTTGAATTTTGCATTTTTCGACTTTTCAACTATTGATTTTCGGATTTCTTGATTTAGATTTTCTCAATACATATTTCGATTTTTGGTTTTTACGATTTTTCTGTTTTTCGACTTCGATTTGTCGATTTCTGGATTCTTCAATTTTTTAATCGATTCTCCAAATGTTCGATTTTTCGACTTTTCATTTTCTTGATTTTTGTTTTTTTTTTCAGTTTTTCTCTATTTTTTGGTTTTTGAATTCTCCGAATGTTCGATTTTTCGCCTTGGACTTTTCGATCGATTCTTCATGTTTACAATGTTGCTACTTTTCGATTTTTGGACATTCCGATTTTTCCATTTCTTGATTTTCGGGTTTTCCGACTTTTCAACTTCGATTTGTTGATTGATTCGTCAAATTTTCGATATTTTGACTTTTCGATTTTTGGATTTTCGGACTTTTCCATTACTCGATTTTTGAATTTTCCGACTTTTCGAGTTTTAGATTTTTCAATTTTCCTACATTTCAATTTTTGGATTTTCCGATTTTTTGACTTCTGGATTTTTCAAATGTTTGATTTTTCGCCTTGGATATATATTTCGATTTTTTCGATCTTTCGTTTTTTCAAATTTTCGATTTTGTGACTTCGATTTTAAAATTTTCGTGTGTTTGATTTCTGGATTTTCTGACTTCGTTTTTCAATTTGTTGACTTTTCGACTTTTCGATTTTTGAAATTTTTGATCGATTTTATTAAATTTTCGATTTTTCAATTTTGAACTTTTTCGATTTTTTACTTACTTATTTTTCGAATGTTCGCTTTCCGACTTTTCGAGTTCTCAATTTCTGGATTTGTCAATTTCCTCGATATTTCGATTTTTGAATACATATTTGATTTTTCTACTTCGATTTCTGGAGTTTTGAATTTGTTTTTTCGATCGATTTTTCAAATTTTCGATATTTTGACTTTTCGATTTTTGGATTTTCAGATTTTTCCATTACTCGATTTTTGGATTTTCGGACTTTTGGAGTTTTAGATGTTTGGATTTTTCAATTTCCTGGTAATGTCAATTTTCGGATTGTACGATTTTTTGACTTTTCGATTTTCCAGTTTTTTGACTTTTGGATTTTTCGAATGTTCAATTTTGAGCCTTGAATTTTTCGATATTTTCGACCTTTCGATTTTTCGATCAATTTTTCAATGTGCGATCGATTCTTCAAATTTTCGATATTTTGACTTTTCGATTTTTGGATTTTCGGACTTTTCCATTACTCGATTTTTGGAGTTTCCGACTTTTCGAGTTTTAGATTTTTCAATTTTCCGACATTTCAATTTTTGGATTTTCCGATTTTTTGGCTTTTCAATTTTCTGATTTTTGACTTCTTCAATTTTAAAATTGTCGTATGTTTAATTTTTGGATTTTCCGACTTCGTTTATCGATTTCTTGATTTTTCGACTTTTCGATTTTTGAAATTTTTGATCGATTTTTTTAAATTTTCGATTTTTCAATTTTTAACTTTTTCGATTTTTCTACTTACTTATTTTTCGAATGATCGCTTTCTCGATTTTTCAATTTTTGGATTATCCGCCTTTTCGAGTTCTTAATTTTTGAATTTTTCAATTTCTCGAAATTTCGATTTTTGAATTTTTTATTTTTCTACTTCGATTTCTGGATTTTTCAATTCGTTTTTTCGATCGATTCTTCAAATTTTCTATATTTTGACTTTTCGATTTTTGGATTTTCGGATTTTTCCATTACTCGATTTTTGGATTTTCCGGCTTTTGGAGTTTTAGATTTTTGGATTTTTCAATTTCCTGGTAATGTCAATTTTCGGATTTTACGATATTTTGGCTTTTCGATTTTCCAGTTTTTTGACTTTTCGATTTTTCGATCAATTTTTCAAATTTTCAATGTTTCGATTTTTCGATTTTTGGACTTCCCGACTTTTCCATTTATCGATTTTTGGATTTTTTCAATTTCTCGATTTTGGTACTTTCTGACCTTTCCATGTCTCAATTTTTGAATTTTCCGACTTTTGAGTTCTCAATTTTTTTATTTTTCAATTTCTCAAAATTTCGAATTTTGAATTCGACTTTTCGACTATTGGTTTTAAGATTTCTCGATTTAGATTTTTTCAATACATATTTCGAGTTTTGGTTTTTACGATTTTTCGGTTTTTCGACTTCGATTTGTCGATTTCTGGATTCTTCTATTTTTTGATGGATTCTCCAAATTTTCGATTTTTCGACTTTTCATTTTCTTGATTTTTGTTTTTTTTTTCAATTTTTCTCTATTTTTTGGTTTTTGAATTCTCCGAATGTTCGATTTTTCGCCGTGGACTTTTTCAATTTTTTCGACCTTTGGACTTTTCGATCGATTCTTCATGTTTACAATGTTGCTACTTTTCGATTTTTGGACATTCCGATTTTTCCATTTCTTGATTTTTGGGTTTTCCGACTTTTCAACTTCGATTTGTTCATCGATTCGTCAAATTTTCGATATTTTGACTTTTCGATTTTTGGACTTTCGGACTTTTCCATTACTCGATTTTTGGACTTTCCGACTTTTCGAGTTTTAGATTTTTCAATTTTCCTACATTTCAATTTTTGGATTTTCCGATTTTTTTGACTTCTGGATTTTTCGAATGTTCGATTTTTCGCCTTGAATATATATTTCGATTTTTTCGATCTTTCGATTTTTCAAATTTTCGATTTTGTGACTTCGATTTTCAAATTTTCGTGTTTGATTTCTGGATTTTCTGACTTCGTTTTTCGATTTGTTGATTTTTCGACTTTTCGATTTTTGAAATTTTTGATCGATTTTATTAAATTTTCCATTTTTCAATTTTGAACTTTTTCGATTTTTCTACTTACTTATTTTTCGAATGTTCGCTTTCCGACTTTTCGAGTTCTCAATTTCTGGATTTGTCAATTTCCTCGATATTTCGATTTTTGAATACATATTTGATTTTTCTACTTCGATTTCTGGAGTTTTGAATTTGTTTTTTCGATCGATTTTTCAAAATTTCGATTTTTTTACTTTTCGTTTCCTCGATTTTTGATACTTTCAAATTACTTCAAAAACAAAACAAAAGACGGGGTCTCCGAGATTCTTTCAAACTACTTCAAAAACCAGGTACAAGGGGTTCGCGACATACTTTCAAATTACTTCAAAAACAAAACACAAGGTGTGGAAGAACTAACTTAATTAACCTCTAATTCTTCTTTTTTTATTTTTATTTATTTATCTCTAATCCATATTTATATCAGTTTTAATATAGGTATCATTTCTTCCATAACGAACAGAAAAAATTGGTACTAATTTTTTAATCTACATTCGCTTTTAATTGGGTAAAAATTTAAATTTCCTGCGTAGTATGTTCATTAATAGTTCAGGTTATGGGTCCAGGATATACCCAAACTCGAAAAAGTGAGTGTTCGGGGGTGCTGACGCAATGCGATTTAGCCGAGTGCTCAGTATATCCATATAAAGAAGTTCAAGAAGCCGTGGGAGTAACTATGACTCGGTACTCATAGTCTCACTTAATATAATTTAGACTCACAACTGATAATTTTCTTATGCGTCGAAGTCGTAGGAAGAGCGTCCACCACCGAATAAAACTCCTTCGTATTTCGCACCCCAAATCTTCGTATTAAATGTCTCCGAACAGCATTTCGCGCCAAATCAACCAAAAGCGCCACCTTCGGATGTTTTTCAACCCTTGCTAAAGTAGCACCCGACAAATTCCATTTTTCCGCAAAATTCCACAAAACTAAACTCAACCTAGAGTCCGCAAAAAAATCCAAAAACTGCTCTGCCGAATTTATCTCCGAATAGTCGTCGGGTTTCTTCAAAAAATCCTCGAAATCAAAAGTGACGTCATGAATGAGAGCAACCATTGCGTTTTTCGGGTAATGATGACAAGTAGCTTCGGGCTCCATTCGTAGGAGAAATTTAAACAAGTCGCAGTAGCCATATATTGTGTATACGGTTTGGTAGAGCGAGACGTGCCACTTCAGACCATGCTGTATCAAGTAGATCAGGATTTGGGTACCGGTAGATTCGGTGTTTCTATTGCGAGAGATTATGAGGTCCGGTAGAACGAAATCTTTCAAACCACTAATAAAATTTAAAAGATGTAAGTTTAAAATGTCGCTATGGTGAATGAGTAAGTCGAGTTTTGTCAACATTTCGTTCGATTTTAGCAAGTTTTCGTTGAAATCTATTTCTCTGAAATTTTGGCGGGTGTTGCAAGCGGAGATGCTTTGGCAGATGGTTTGGTGACACCTATCTAGAAGAATCTCGAGATGTTCTAGATCTATGACCAAGAGATTGTTGAAGAGGTTTGACAAGTATTCGTCTGATAGTTGTACCAGTGTTTTGACCCTGTACTCAAACAGTCGATGGAAAAAAGGCGATTTTACTTTAGCTAATTGTAACAAAACGTCGAGATGGATTTTAACCTCGTCGTGTTCATCGTACGAATAATCAAACAAAATCTCTTGAACCAGGAATGAGTGTCCTGTCACAACGGCTAGTTCAAACGAATTGTATCCTTCAGAACACTCGATGAAAGGATCAGCACCATAACTTAACAACATCGCTACGTATTCGTAGTCTTGACTGTGTAAACCTTTGAGTAGTACTTTATGGAGAGGAGTTTCTCCACTTCGGTCTTGCGCATTGACTGCCATCCCTCTATCAAGGAGAAGTTTGGTCATGGGAACTGAAACAGAAACGGCCCGATGGAGAAGATTATGCCCATTTTTGTAGATCCCATAGATGGAAGCCCCTTTTTTGATCAGTTCGTACGCATAGTACTCGTACCAGGTCTTCATAGAGAACATTAAAGCCGTCTGATTGAAGAAACTAACAATTTCTAGATCTTCCAAATCGTGGAAGCGTAGCATGTATTGGAAAATGTCCTTACTGAAACCAGTGGTAGTGATGATTATATAACAATATCCAAAAACCAAAATTTTTATAACTCACCTATTTTGGTACATGGCTTCTTGGAGTAACGTATGTCCTGAGTAAGTTTTTATTTGGCACCACTTCCCCGGCGCTGTTTTGATCAGGTGCTTCAGTTTGTTTAAATCGTGGGTGGAAATCGCCTCCTCGAACATATCGCGCAACTCTACATCAACCTGGAAGTAATTATTTTTCTCAGGTTTGTAATCCAACTTGATGGACTCACCACGGTGTTGCTTGCAATCCGATTGCCCATTTTTTGGAAACGGTGATCTTACTATTGTTTAAAATACTTTTTGTGTGAAATTGCGTCGCACTTTCAGTACGTGGAACTCAACTCTCGGCGCCAATTCTAGACGATCGATAGACTTCGGCTTCGACGCTGTAAATAGTCTTGCTACGTTTGGATAAACAGTGATGCTATTTTAAAAATAGCAAAGGAAGTTTCTTTATAAATCGACTACGCATGTGATATATGTTGTTTTAATAAGTCAGAGCTGCTAAACCTTTGTGTGCTTAATTAATTTCAATTAAAAATTAGAAATTTCCGAAGAAACGAAGCCTAAAATGACTTCTGGATATCGAAATCTACAAGAAAATGTCAACAGTGCCAAAATCAGTCTTATCTTATCAAATAAGTACTAGCCCCGCCCACCCACCCTCTATTTTCTTGGAAGATATGTCATCTGCCAAAATCAGTCATATCTTAGTAAGTACTAGCCCCACCCACTCCCGCCTCTTCTCATTTTAACGATTAATTTTATTTCTGTTCAGAATAAAATCATTAATTTCATTCATAAAATCAATCACTGAAAAGGAGACAGGGTGGGTGGGCGGGGCTAATTATGTTTTTCTGTCGAGTGGGAATGGATACTATAGGATGTGAAAAAATAAAAAAAAAAGCGCTAATCGTAACTTTTTTTGTTAAAATCAGTTTTATGTTAGCAGGTACTAGCTAAAGTTTCGTAAAAAATAGCTCTCTAAAAAAGTTTTGTAAATAAAAACGGAAATTACTATAAATTTTTCTTTTTGTACCCCATTTAAATAAAACATTGTTCTTAAACTTTTAGTTATAAATTTAGAGGTCCAGAATTTCCTTAATCTTATAGAAGTGTAATGATTTTCGAAAATGACCAAATTTTTGTTATTTAAAAAAATTCTAAACACGAAAAATTCAGAGAAGTTAAAAAACCAAGGCCTTTGCATATCTTTTAAAGAATTTTCTAAAACGTGTTTTGATTTCACTAACAATAAAAGTTTCAGGTTTTCAAAAATAACGATTTCAGAGAACTAAAATATTTTCTTATTTTGACAAAAAAAATTACGACTAGCGCTTTTTCTTCTAGATTCTATTATTAGTTTCCATTCCCACTCGACACAAGAACATAATTATCCCCGCCCACCCACCCTGTCTATTTTCAGTGATTATACTGTAGTAGTAGGCTAGTATTTGCTAAGATAAAAATGATTTTAGCAGATGACATATCTTCCAAGAAAACAGAGGGTGGGTAGGCGGGGCTAGTACTTATTTGATAAGATAAGACTGATTTTGGCACTTTTGACATTTTCTTGTAGATTTCGATATCCAGAAGTCATTTTCGGCTTCGTTTCTTCGGAAATTTCTACCGTAATTCTAACATCGCTAATTGAAATTCAGCAATTTTTAGAGTTTCTTCAAAATAGCTCGCTATAAAATTTTTGTAGATAGAAAAGGAAATTATTTTAAATAAAAATTTGTTTTAAACTTCTAAAGTTATAACTTTAGAGATCCAGAATTTCGTTAATTTTATAAAAGTGTAATGATTTTCTAAAATGACTAAACTTTTGTCAGTTTAAAAAATTACACGGAAGATTCAGAGAAGTTAAAAAACCAAGGCCTTTTAACATATCTTTTAAAGAATTTTCTAAAACATGTTTGATTTCACTAACAATAAAAACCGAGAAAAATTAACAACTTGACTGAATTTATTAATTTTTCCAAACAGTTTTAAATATTTCAATAATGTAAATTTTTAATGCTGTCATTTTTGGGTATTCTTAATAAGTATTATATCCAATTTATAAAATTTTTAGAAAGAATTATTTACCTTTATCGAAGTTTCAGGTTTTCAAAAATAACGATTTCAGCATATTTCAGAAATCACGAACTAGTTTTCATTCCCACTCGACAGAAGAACATAGTTATCCCCGCCCGCCCACCCTGTCTCCTTTTCAGTGATTATACTGAAGAGAAATAAAATTAGTCGTTAGAATGGCAAGAGGGTGGGTGGGCGGTGATAGTACCTGCTAACATAAGACTGATTTTAACAAAAAAAGTTATGATTAGAGCTTTTTTTTACTTTTTCACATCCTATAATATCCATTCCCACTCGACAGAAAAACATAATTAGCCCCGCCCACCCACCCTGTCTCCTTTTCAGTGATTGATTTTATGAATGAAATGAATGATCTTATTCTGAACAGAAATAAAATTAATCGTTAGAATGAGAAGAGGCGGGGGTGGGCGGGGCTAGTACTTACTAAGATATGACTGATTTTGGCAGATGACGTGTCTTCCAAGTAAGTAGAGGGTGGGTGGACGGGGCTAGTACTTATTTGATAAGATAAGACTGATTTTGGCACTTTTGACATTTTCTTGTAGATTTCGATATCCAGAAGTCATTTTAGGCTTCGTTTCTTCGGAAATTTCTACCGTTTCTCTAACATCGCTGATTGAAACACAGCAATTTTTAGAGTTTCGTAAAAAATTGCTCTCTATAAAAATTTTGTAAAAAAAAACGGAAATTACTATAAATTTTTCTTTTTGTACCCCATTTAAATAAAAAATCGTTCTAACTTTTAAAGTTATAAATTTAGAGGTCCAGAATTTCCTTAATCTTATAAAAGTGTAATGATTTTCGAAAATGACCAAATTTTTGTTATTTAAAAAAATTCTAAACACGAAAAATTCAGAGAAGTTAAAAAACAAGGCCTTTGCATTTCTTTTAAAGAATTTTCTAAAACGTGTTTTGATTTCACTAACAATAAAAGTTTCAGGTTTTCAAAAATAACGATTTCAGAGAACTGAAATATTTTTTTATTTTGACAAAAAAAATTACGATTGGCGCTTTTTCTTCTAGATTCTATTATTAGTTTCCATTCCCACTCGACACAAGAAAATAATTATCCCCGCCCACCCACCCTGTCTCCTTTTCAGTGATTATACTGTAGTAGTAGACTAGTATTTGCTAAGATAAGAATGATTTTGGCAGATGACATATCTTCCAAGAAAATAGAGGGTGGGTGGGCGGGGCTAGTACTTGTTGAATAAGATAAGACTGATTTTGGCACTTTTGACATTTTCTTGTAGATTTCGATATCCAGAAGTCATTTTAGGCTTCGTTTCTTCGGAAATTTCTACCGTTTTTCTAACATCGCTAATTGAAACACAGCAATTTTTAGTGTTTCGTAAAAAATAGCTCGCTATAAAATTTTTGTAGATAGAAAAGGAAATTATTTTGAATAAAAATTTGTTTTAAACTTCTAAAGTTATAAATTTAGAGATCCAGAATTTCGTTAATTTTATAAAAGTGTAATGATTTTCTAAAATGACTAAACTTTTGTCATTTTAAAAAATTACACGGAAGATTCAGAGAAGTTAAAAAACCGAAGCCTTTTAACATATCTTTTAAAGAATTTTCTAAAACATGTTTGATTTCATTAACAATAAAAACCGAGAAAAATTAACAACTTAACTGAATTTATTAATTTTTCCAAACAGTTTTAAATATTTCAATAATGTAAATTTTTAATGCTGTTATTTTTGGGTATTTTTAGTATTATATCCAATTTATAAAATTTTTAGAAATAATTATTTACTTTTATGGAAATTTCAGGTTTTCAAAAATAACGATTTCAGCATATTTCAGAAATCACGAACTAGTTTTCATCCCACTCGACAGAAGAACATAATTATCCCCGCCCACCCACCCTGTCTCATTTTCAGTGATTATACTGAAGAGAAATAAAATTAGTCTTTAGAATAACAAGAGGGCGGGTGGGCGGGGCTAGTATTTGCTAAGATAAGAATGATTTTGGCAAATGACATATCTTCCAAGAAAACAGAGGGCGGGTGGGCGGGGCTAGTACCTGCTAACATAAGACTGATTTTAACAAAAGAAATTACGATTAGCGCATTTTTTTACTTTTTCACATCCTATAATATCCATTCCCACTCGACAGAAAAACTTAATTAGCCCCGCCCGCCCACCCACCCTGTCTCCTTTTCAGTGATTGATTTTATGAATAAAATGAATGATCTTATTCTGAACACAAATAAAATTAATCGTTAGAATGAGAAGAAGCGGGGGTGGGAGGGGCTAGTACTTACGAAGATATGACTGATTTTGGCAGATGACATATCTTCCAAGAAAATAGAGGGTGGGTGGGCGGGGCTAGTACTTATTTGATAAGATAAGACTGATTTTGGCACTTTTGACATTTTCTTGTAGATTTCGATATCCAGAAGTCATTTTAGGCTTCGTTTCTTCGGAAATTTCTACCGTTTTTCTAACATCGCTAATTGAAACACAGCAATTTTTAGAGTTTCGTAAAAAATTTCTCTCTACAAAAATTTTGTAAATAAAAACGGAAATTACTATAAATTTTTCTTTTTTTACCCCATTTAAATAAAAAATTGTTCTTAAACTTTTAAGGATATAAATTTAGAGGTCCAGAATTTCCTTAATCTTATAAAAGTGTAATGATTTTCGAAAATGACCAAATTTCTGTTATTTAAAAAAATTCTAAACACGAAAAATTCAGAGAAGTTAAAAAACCAAGGCCTTTGCATATCTTTTAAAGAATTTTCTAAAATGTGTTTTGATTTCACTAAGAATAAAAGTTTCAAGTTTTCAAAAATAACGATTTCAGAGAACTGAAATATTTTTTTATTTTGACAAAGAAATTACGATTAGCGCTTTTTCTTCTAGATTCTATTATTAGTTCCCATTCCCACTCGACACAAAAACATAATTATCCCCGCCCACCCACCCTGTCTCCTTTTCAGTGATTATACTGTAGTAGTAGGCTAGTATTTGCTAAGATAAGAATGATTTTGGCAGATGACATATCTTCCAAGAAAATAGAGGGTGGGTGGACGGGGCTAGTACTTATTTGATAAGATAAGACTGATTTTGGCACTTTTGACATTTTCTTGTAGATTTCGATATCCAGAAGTCATTTTAGGCTTCGTTTCTTCGGAAATTTCTACCGTTTCTCTAACATCGCTGATTGAAACACAGCAATTTTTAGAGTTTCGTAAAAAATTGCTCTCTATAAAAATTTTGTAAAAAAAAAACGGAAATTACTATAAATTTTTCTTTTTGTAC